TCTGGGTCTGGGCGCTGTCCCTCAGCTCTTCAGCTCAAGACTAGCGCTCTACCACTTGAGCCACAGCGCCACTTCCGGCTTTTCTCTTTTTGCATATGTGGTGCTGAGGAATCGAACCCAGGGCCTCATGCATGCAAGGCAAGCACTCTACCACTGATCCACCTTCCCAGCCCCAAGTCTGTGTAACTCTTATATCCAAATGACCACCAAAAAGCTAGAGGTTGAACTGTGGCTCAAGTGGTAGAGTGCCATCTTTGAGACAAAAAGGAACAGCACCTAGGATCTGAATTCAGGCTCTTGTACCAGCACTATAAACAAAGAATGTCTTTTTCCTACTTGTCCAATATGATTATTGAAGATGAACAATTATTGACCACCTGATCAAATAACCTATAGAGGAAGCTTGGGAGAAAAGATGTTGAGAAAGAAGACAAGCCCTCTAGCAGACCAGGTTGGTAGAAAGGGTTGATCTTTTGATTGAACATCCTCTCTCAGCAACAGTTCTTGAATCCTCCAGGGAGGGGGGGGGGAGATTTGGAAATAAGGGATTATGAAAGCAAAGAAAGAAATTTAGATGTTTCTTCGTGACTTACTGAGTATGATACAGAATTCTAGAAAAGTGAGATTTCCACACTCCCTCCCCCGACTCCCACCACCTATCATACCTGAGATCAAGATTACATAAACTACTTCTATAAAATTTACAGATAGCTGAAGAGTATGAAAAAAACTATTCCAAGAGATGTCAGAAACAAAAAGTTTATGGCTACAAAATATTGTCAACATGTGACATTCCAAAGTGCACATATATATATACACATACTTTTTCTTCCTTTGGCAGTAGTGTTCAAACTCAAGGTCTCACATTTGCTCAGCTTGCTTGGGTGATGTTCTACTACACTTGAGCCAGGTCTCCAACATCTGGCTTTTTGCTGTTTATTTTTTTTGGACTTTTCTGCTCAGACTGGTCTTGAACCTTGATCCTCCAGATCTCAGCTTTCTGAGTAGCTAGGATTACAGGTCTAAGCCACAGGTACCTGACAATATTTTACATTTTTTTAACCGAAAAAACTTCTCTGAGATATACAATATTTCTTTTTCTATTGAACATACGTCTAAGCAGACAAAAAGAAATTAAATAACTTGCTCAAAAATATTCAACAAATAGTAGCAGATGTGCTATTTAAATTTGGGCTGTCTAGTTCATAGCATTTATCAGGAGGCTCCCTTTCCCTTCATGTATTAAATCATAAAATATTAATATAAGAATTATTTTAACTAGATAAAGGAAAGACATTATAGTAAACAAATATCAAATCAATGTTATTTCTTCATTTGTTACTCACTAAGTTTAACCGAGCCTTCCATCCCCAAAAGCACATTGTCACTTTTGATGTCTCTGTGGATCACTTGATTAGCATGTAAAAATTCCAGTGCCTGTAAACACTGAACAGAAGAAAATAATCAGTTACTAAAGTCTAAGAAAGGTTCATATATGCTATTTTATGACCTAAGCATTACCTTGTTTGTATCTAGCAGAAGACTCTCTTAATACTTAAGAAAAAACATCCTCTCACATGAAAAGTTAAAAAAATGTCATAATTAATAAGATCCTCTCCTCTGATTTTATTTATTTTTGTCGGTTGTGGGGCCTGAACTTGGCCTGGGCACTGTCTCTCAGCTCTTCAACTCAAGGCTAGTGCACTACTACTTGAGCCACAGCACCACTTCCAGCTTTTTCTGCTTATGTGGCACTGAGGAATCAAACCCAAGGCTTCATGCATGTAGGGCAAGCACTCTATCACTGAGCTATCTTCCCAGCCCCTCTACTCTGATTTTATCCAGAGATTATTAAATAATGTCTTATAATGTCACTATTTTTTTTTTATAAGACAGGGTCTTGTTACATTGTTTAGGCTGGTCTTCAACTCCTGGACTTAAGCAAATCGCCTGCCTTAGCCTCCTGAGTAGGTAGGACTAGGAGGTATGCTATGCATGTAACTCATTTGTCACTAATGGTCTTTTCCTCTATGTTTGGGATTGAACCCGGGGCTTTATGCATGCAAGGATGATAAGCAAATGCTCTGTCACCGAGCAATAATCCAAGACCCTGGCACTAATTTTTCCCCTTCCTACTACTCAATATTTACTGAATTAGTGCTAATTAACTACCAAATCACATATTACATCTTGAGAGGTGGAATTATGAAAATACAAACTTTGGCAAGGCTTCTATATGTTGCTGCTACCTCAGACTTTAATATTAAATCTCAGAATTTAATAAGCAAAGGATTTTGTTAATGAATAAATGTATTCTGAATATAGTTTTTGTTATAACTTTGGTTACAAAATTAATTTTGTATCAACTATGAGAACAAGATAAATTCTCATTAAATTTGATCAGTTTTAAGTGATCAAACATTTTGTTAAGGGACATGATTAAAGAACTATGAAAAAGGTTATTTTCTTCCTTCAATCAAAGAAGCAGAACACAAATCAGAATTAAAATTTTAAAGAACATTTTTAACACTTTAATAAATGTTTGTAATTCATCTTGTACTACTGCAGAATTGCTGAAAGCCAAACTTACAGGAAATACAATATAATCATAAGAACTTGTACAATCTTCTCCTTTCCTTGACAAAATAAAGGGTCAGTTTCAATGATGATAAATAATCATTAGCTTCAATTTCAATGATGATAAATAGCTATTAGCTTAAGTTCCTTTTAGAAAACATACATAGAAGGAAGACTTGTTTTGGTTTAGACTTAAGTAGTTTGGCAGAACTTATTTACTTAAGCAAACAGTAGTTAAAAAATAATTATAAACTTTAAAAAAAAACAGCAGTTATTTCATCCCCAGAGAGTTCAATAAAGTTAGGACCAGAGGTTTTTTTTTTTTTTTTTGGGGGGGGGTCCACTGGTGGGGCCTGAACTCTGGGCCTGGGCACTGTCCCTCAGCTCTTCAGCTCAAGGCTAGCGCTCTACAACTTGAGCCACAGAACCACTTCCGGCTTTTTTCTCTTTGCTTATGTGGTGCTGAGGAATCAAACCCAGGGCCTCAAGCATGCAAGGCAAGCGCTCTACCACTGAGCCACCTTCCCAGCTCCAGGACCAGAGTTTTTTTTTTGGGTCCGGTCGTGGGGCCTGAACTCTGGGCCTGGGCACTGTCCCTCAGCTCTTCAGCTCAAGGCTAGCGCTCTACCACTTGAGCCACAGCGCCACTTCTGGCTTTTTTCTTTTTGCTTATGTGGTGCTGGGAATCGAACCCAGGGCCTCAGGCATGCAAGGCAAGCGCTCTACCACTGAGCCACCTTCCCAGCCCCAAGGACCAGAGTTTTTTTATAATGAGATGGTTCTAGTTTCCATTATGAATGATAATTTTAATGGTATCTGGTTTTACTCTGAAGTGTCCTTTTTAAAGGGTAAACTGTAATGATCACTCCACTAAAATTTGCCAATGAATGCTCTTCAAAGGTCTGTGCTTCAGGGGCTGGGAAGGTGGCTCAGTGGTAGAGTGCTTGCCTTGCATGCATGAGGCCCTAGATTCGATTCCTTGGCACCAGAAAAAGCCGGAAGTGGTGCTGTGGCTCAAGTGGTAGAGTGCTCGCTTTGAGCTGAAGAGCTGAGGTACAGCGCCCAGGCCCAGAGTTCAAGCCCCACAACCAAAAAAAAAAAAAAAAGGAGGGGGATTCCTAGGCTTCATTCCCAAATAACATATAAAACACAGGGCTGAAGCTTTTATGTTAGATGAAAGGGTGCAAGGCAGAGAATATGTAGAGAAACTATCCCAAACACAATAAAATTTCCTGGGCAGGAAAACTTTCCCTTTTTTTCACTCTTTCCAAACCATATATCACCTTATCTTACCCAAAAGGAAGTAAACCCACCTCTCTGCAGACAGCAGCAATCTGTGCTTCATCCATGCAGGTTTCTGTTACAACATCAGTAAGTGATCCACCAGCAAGGTACTCCATTACTACGAACAACTCATCTCCTACCAGGTAACTAAAAGTGGAATATACAAACACATTTACATTTTTATTTTTCACACTTTATACATTTATACACTTTTTTATTTTATACATTCTATGTTGAGGGACTCAAACGTTATGTATCATAATAAAACTAGAGAGCTAAGACAGCTAAGAACTGGGAAGAAAACCGGAAAGCTACTATGTTATAGTACAAAACTCAAAACTTGAAGAGATTATGATCTATCCTCCTGAATCATTTTAAAGTTAGAATTTTCCCACAATCATCACTTGTGTGAGAGTATTCAAATGAGTATTCAAATACACAGAGTATTCAAATTAGAATGAATGTATGATGTAGAAATCATTAGTCTGGGCTGGGAAGTTGGCTCAGTGGTAGAGTGCTTGCCTTGCATGCCTGAGGCCCTGGGTTCGATTCCCAGCACCACATAAGCAAAAAGAAAAAAGCCGGAAGTGGCGCTGTGGCTCAAGTGGTAGAGCGCTAGCCTTGAGCTGAAGAGCTGAGGGATAGAGCCCAGGCCCAGAGTTCAGACCCCACGACTGGACCCCCCCCAAAAAAAAAGATCATTAGTCCTATTTTCCAATGAAAGGACTTACCTCTGAAGACCAGGGGCTCAAGCTATCTTAGGCTACACACAATACCCTATTCTCAAGGGGAGAGAGGGGGGAAAGAGAAGAGAGACAAACACAAAGACCTGGGAGTCTAGAAACAGAACCAGAATCTGAAAGCACGCACCATGATTCTAAAGCCTAGGGTTTATCTGACTCACCAGCCAGACTGACTTAAAAATGCTATTTTAAAGCAGGGAAACATACCTGAAAAGTTTATTTCTATGAACAAAGTCCCCATAATGAGAACTAAGATCTCAAAATATATTACCTTCTCTCCATTCTAAATACATGTAAGAAATCACCTATAATTCACTAGCTCCAATACAACCACTATTATTATTTTATACTAGCCTTTATTTATGTCATTATTTAAAAAAAACTACACATCTGCAACAGTATAATTTTCTATTTTTCTTTGTTGTTTATTACTGATTCCTAAGCTAAATGAACTTTTAATAAACACGTGCAATTTGCTCACAGCAAACAGCATTTAAGTGAAAACTGGCTAGGTGTGGTGGCACACCAGTAATCCCAGCTACTCAGGAGACTTAGGCAGGAGGATAGTAATTTCAAAGCTTGGCTGCAGTACATAAAATAAAAACTAACAGCAATTTAAAAACTGTGTAATTGTGGGCAAGACATGAATCACAATATTTTCTAGTATTGTTTTATCTGCACAATGCATTATGAGCAATCTTTCATTTAACTGCTTTCTCTCCTTTGCCAAGTGATCTTCTTGTATGAGTACTTTCTAAACTATAATATAGTGTATTTTTACCTCTTGTTCTCTTCCTCCTTTGAGGATACTTTTCAGCCCTGATGTTTTATTCCAACTAAAGTGGCTATCCTTTACAAAACCATGATATTATCCCAACGTTTAAAAATATTCAAGGGCTGGGAAGGTGGCTCAGTAGTGGAGCACTTGCCTTGCATGCATGAGGCCCTGGGTTCGATTCCTCAGCACCACATAAGCAAAAGAAAAAAGCCGGAAGTGGCACTGTGGCTCAAGTGGTAGAGCGCTAGCCTTGAGCTGAAGAGCTGAGGGACAGCACCCAGGCCCAGAGTTCAGGCCCCAAGACCAGATGCCCCCCCCAAAAAAAATTCAAATTTACCTGTCCAAGAAATTAACTATGTTGGGATTCTTTAATTCTTTCATCACCAGAATCTCATTAATAATCAATTCCTTCTTTGGCTGTTTCTGTAAATTAATCTGTTTGATAGCAACCTAGAATGGAAACAGAATGGAAAAACATCAGTTTTCTTAATACCTTTAGAAAAAGTTGGAAGTTAAAACCACCACTGAGTAATTTAATGTACATATTATTTTATTACAGAATGAGACTGTAACTTATTCACAAATGGTACTTGTCTTGCACATGACCTATGCACAATGCTTTGCAACAGATAGAATCTAGATATGTTTAGATTTATCTTAAAGTTGATTGACCAACTCAAAGTTAGCATAGACCAGGAATTAATCTTTTTTTTCATTTCAGGTTGGGAAAATAGTTTTTACGTATTTTCTTATTTATGACAATGAACTTACTTTTTTTTTTTTTCCGGGGGGGTGGGGGGTCTGGTCGTGGGGCCTGAACTCTGGGCCTGGGCACTATCCCTCAGCTCTTCAGCTCAAGGCTAGCACTCTACCACTTGAGCCACAGTGCCAGTGCCACTTCTGGCTTTTTTCTTTTTGCTTATGTGATGCTAAGGAATCAAACCCAGGGCCTCATGCATGCAAGGCAAGCCCTCTACCACTGAGCCACCTTCCCAGCCCATGAACTTACTTCTTAGTTACCTAAACATAAGAATTGCTGTAAAATTGCATAGATCAATTCTTACAATATATTCAACTTAAAGAGATTTATATTTGTTCACATATGTGATTGTTTTAAAAAACAAAACAAATGTGGCTTAGTGATAGAGTGTTTGCCTAGCATGCATAAAAACCTGGGTTCAATTAATCAGTACCACATAAACGGGAAAAAGTTGGAAGTGGCACACTGTGGTTCAAGTGGTAGAGTGCTAGCCTTAAGCAAAACAAGCTCAGGGACAGTGCCCAAGCCTTGAGTTCAAGTCCTAGGACTGGCGAAAGAAAGGAAAAAAAGAAGAAAAGAAGAAAGGAAGAAAGGAAAAAAGAAAGAAAGGAAGGAAGAAAGGCAGGAAGGAAGAAAGAGTTGTAATAATCTATATAATTCATATTGTAAGTTTTTTATAATTTCTTTCTACATGTAATGCTAATGATAACATCCAAAGTATGAAAAGACCATTACCTCCTGTCCTAGTGCTACATCAGTTGCAGTGAAAACTGTGCCAGAAGCCCTACAGAGCAAAAAGACAAGATTTAAGGTTTCTAAAACATTACCATTTATAATATCCAAATTTTACACTTTGCACAATGGAAAAGACACTGAAGAACACTTTAGACTTAACATTTTTACAAGTAAAGCAAAAGCAAAAAGGGGGAAAAAGAAAAAAGCAATCCTTGTGTTTGAAATATTTCAGATCTATGAATGCTTAACAGAGAGCTAGGAGCCCGTGTCTCATGGCTATAAGCCTAGCTACTCAGGAGGCTGAGTACAGGCAGGAAAGGCTGTGAAACTAGTTATCTCCAATAAACAACCAGAAAACCAGAAGTGGCACTGTGGCTCAAGTGGCAGAGAGCTTGCCTTGAGCTGAAGAGCTGAGAGACAGCGCCCACGCCTAGAGTTCAAGCCTTATGACCGACAAAAACAAAAAAACCCCGAAGACATAGGGATTAAAAAAATTTAAATATCCACATATGAAAACATCTTCATTTCATAAACAAAGAACTGTAAATAAACTCTATGACCTTTCTGATGTGACCCTCCCATTTTCCAAAGTTGACCTATACTTGATACGTATTTGCATATCAAATATATGCTTTCAACTACAAAAGACATGGGTTCGTATCTCTATAAACAATATATTTGGCCTATTTTCTTCTTCTTCTTCTGGGTCGTGGGGCTTGAACTCATATTCTGGGCACTATCTCTGAGTTTCTGTTTGCTCAAGGCGAGCACTCTACCACTTTAAGCCACAGTGCCACTTCCAATTTTCTTGTGATTAATTTGAGATAAGAGTCTCACAGATTTTTCTGCCAAGTTGGCTTCAAACCATGATTCTCAAATCTCAGCCTCCTGAGTAGCTAGGATTACAGATGTGAGCCACCAGTTTGGCCTAGTTTTTAAACTTCATATTGTTTCATTTTATGCAATTCTTTATAATTTTGTAAAATTTAACATTGGGGCCAGACACTGGTGACTCATGCCTGTAATCCTAGCTACTCAGGAGACCTGAAGATGATGGTTCAAAAAGCCAGTCTGCACAGAAAATTCCTTGAGACTCTTATCTCCAATAAACCACTTAGAAAAACAGGGAAGTGGCCGCACAGTAAGCTAAAGTGGCAGAGTACTAGCCTTGAGCACAGAGAGGCTCACTGACAGAGCCCAGGCCCTGAGTTCAAGCCCCAGGTCTGGCAAAAACCCTATTCCAAAGAGTCCCAGTCAGATTACATATATATTTAGAGCTCATGTAAGAGGCAAAGATACACCAACCATGTGGGATACCCAAGGAGTACTGAATATTATGGGCTAAAGTCACAAAAACTTACCCTTGTCCAATTTTTTCATATCTTGTATACTTTTTCTTAGGGTCTCCTATGCTTACTATAGTTCCTGTTTTAACAAAAACAAAAATTGGAAGATCAGCCTTTTTAAAGCAAATTAATTTGATTAATAATTACTTTTAATAAAGTACTGACTTTAAAATACTGGATTTGAAATCACAAGTTCCAAAAAAATTTTTTTAAACACTAAGTATCGAAGTACATAATAAAAGTCAAAAACTATCAGAAACAAGATCTATTTTCACTAGATTTATAATGCTTGATACAGGCCAATGATTATTGTTGAATTAAAAAAGACAAATTTCCCCCCCCAGAACCTATTTTATGACCACACAAACACATATCTATAGAATGATAATTTTGTTAGTGACTTTTTGTAGATTCATGTGAAGAAGCTATAAATATTCTTAAATATATACAAAACCACATCTGATAAGGTTTCCAACTATGCCCTTTAAATCTGGTTTGTAGTGAAAAACTATTGATCTGAAAGGGACTAATTTCACCAGTTAAATAAATACTTTTCATATGTACTAATAAAACTAATGTATTATTATTCCTCTAAGGAGAAAATTTTTCCTTTATTCCTTAAGTCAAATTATAGGCACAAATTAAAATTCATCTGGACCAAATGCTCTTTTCTTTTCTTGTGGTGTTAGGGATTAAACCCAGAGCCTTGCATGTGGTAGATAAATACACTACCACTGAACTACAATTCCAGCTCTGGGGCCCACTGTTTTAAGAGCTATTAAGAACTCTAAGAAAAGTAGGTAACATACTTAATTTTTCCATAATCTCTTCATCTGTCATCTTGGTCTTCTTTTTTTGTTTGTCTGAAGACTTGGCACCACTGTCAACATTAGCATCACCAACTGGTGCAGGAATAGGGTCAATTACAGACCGTGTATAAATCTGCAAGATACAGGTCATTACTGAGAATTGAGGGGAATACAAAGTCATGTGTTCTTAATGGTATTCTCTTCATTTCTTTGATTTTTAAAAAATTACCTATAGTTGTACAAAGGAGTTGCCATTTAAAAACAGATTATGAATACAATGTATCATAATTAATGTCACCCTTTTCAACACTCTTACCTATTCCACCCCTACCTAGCCCTTCCCCGACTCTTCTTAATTTTGTAGAATATAGATTGGATTCTTTTTTGTTGTTGTTTTTTGGTTGTTGTGGGGCTTGAACTCTGGGCTTGGGCGCTGTCCCTCAGCTCTTCAGATCAAGGCCAGCGCTCTACCACTTGAGCTACAGCGCCACTTCCGGTTTTCTAGTGGGTTTATTGGAGATAAGAGTCTCACGAACTTTCCTACCAAGGCTGGCTTTGAACCATGATCCTCAGATCTCGGCCTCCTGAGTAGATAGTATTATAGGCGTGAGCCAAGGCCCCGGTTAGATTGGCTTCTTGACTGCACCTCCCCACCTTCTCATCTTCATTCATCTACCCCTTTTTTTCTATTGTTCCAAAGAATAGGAGTCATATTTCCAAATAAAAAAGCATGTAAGTGTTAGTGTGGTAACACACACCTGTAAACAAAGCAATCTGGAGGTTAAATTAAGAGCGTTCTGAGTTTTGCATATATATCAAGACTGTTAAAAACAAAACAACAACAAAAAAAAACAAAGAAGAGAAAAACAAAACTGTGGCTGGGAAGGTGGCTCAGTGATAGAGCACTTGCCTTGCATGCATGAGGCCCTGGGTTCGATTCCTCAGCACCACATAAGCAAAAAGAAAAAAGCTGGAAGTGGCGCTGTGGCTCAAGTGGTAGAGCGCTAGCCTTGAGCTGAAGAGCTGAGGGACAGCGCCCAGGCCCAGAGTTCAGGCCCCACGACCGGACACCCCCCCCCCCCCCCCGCCAAAAAAAAAAGAGAAAAACAAAAGTGAGCACTGGTGGCTCACTCCTGTAATCTTAGCTACTCTGGAGGCTGAGATATGAGGATCACCATTCAAAGCCAGCTTGGGCAGAAGAGTCTGTGAGACTCTTCAATTAAGTACCCCTCTCACCCCCCCCAAAGAACCTAAAATGGAGCTGTGGCTTAAGTGGCAGAGTGCTAACCTTGAGCAAAAAAACCCTCAGGAACAGGGGCTGGGAAGGTGGCTCAGTGGTAGAGTGCATACCTCACATGCATGAGGCCCTGGGTTCAATTCCTCAGCACCACAAAAACAGAAAAGGCCGGAAGTGGCACTGTGGCTCAAGTGGTAGAGCACTAGCCTTGAGCTGAAGAGCTTGGACAGCACGCAGGCCTAGTGTTCAAGCCCCATGACTAACAACCACAACAAAAAAAGCTCAGGAAGAACACCCAGGCCCTAAATTCAAACCCTACAATCAGCAATGAAAAACAAACAAAATAAAACAAAAATCCCTGTAATTCAGGTATATGGGAGGAGGAGAAGGAAGAGTCATAAGACACTACCCTAAGTAAAAGGCAGTAAGATCTAATCTGAAAAAAATAAGCTGGAGGCTGAGATGTAGCCCAGTGGGAAAATGATAGCAGGTGCAACATCCTGGGTTCAATCCCCAGTACAAAAAAGATAAAACAGGAGCTGGGAAGTTGGCTCAGTGGTAGAGTGCTTGCCTCACATGCATGAGGCCCTGGGTTCGATTCCTCAACACCACATAAGCAGAAAAAAGCTGGAAGTGGTGATGTGGCTCAAGTGGTAGAGCGCTAGCCTTGAGCTGAAGAGCTGAGGGACAGTGCCTAGGCCCAGAAGTTCAATCCCCACGACCGGACCCCCCCCAAAAAAAAAAGAAAAAGAAAAAAGAAAACATGAAAAACCAAACAAATAAAAAATAAGCTGGAAGCTGGGTGCTGATAGCTTATGGGGGCAATCCTCACTACTCAGAAGGCTAAGATATGAGGATCCCAATTCTAAACCAGCAAGGGCAGGAAAATTGATAAGACTCTGATCTCCAATTAACCACCAAAAAACCTTAAGTGGCATTATGGTTCAAAGTGGTAGAGCACTAGCTTTGATAAAAATACAGCTCAGTAAACAGTGCCAGGCCCTGAGTTCAACTCAGGACAGTCAAAAGGTATAAACCATGGAGCCCAGAGTTCAAATCTTAGTATCGTCAAGAAAAAACAAAAAACAAACTGGAGAACACCTGTTAACTCAGTGAGATGGTAGTTATAGGAATGAGGATCACAGTGCAAAGCAGAAAGCTGATTTGAAAATCTAAAACAAAAAAGGCTGCAGAGCTGGGTGCTGGTGGCTCATGACAGTAGTCAATCCTAGCCAGCCCAGGCAGAAAAATCCCAATTAACCACTCAAAAACCGGAAGTGGCCCAGTGGCTCAAAGGCCTTGAGCAAAAGAGCTCAAAGACAGCACCCAGGTCCTGAGTTCAAGCCCTGTCCCCCCATGGACTGGAAAAAAAAAAAGGCTACAGGTGTGACTCAAGTGGTAGAGACCTTGCTTAGCAAGTTCAAGGACCCAAGTTTAAACACCACTACCACCAAAATAAATAAAAACCCCACCATATTGCTCCCACTCCCCCATAAAAAGAAAAATACATGCATCTAAGAAAATAAATGTGGAACTTTTTCTTTTAAGTATAGGGAAAAAATTGCAGTGTGACTAGATCTAAAACAGTATCAGTATCATATAATGTAGGGGAAAAAAAACACAGCTTAGAATGTTTTACTAAAAAAGGAGTTAAAAAAATTGCATACTAGGAGGCTAGGAATGTGGTTTAGTGGTAGAGTGCTTACTTAACACGCATGAGGCCCTGGGTTCCATTCCTTAGTACCTCATAACAGAAAAAGCTACAAGTGGTGCTGTGGCTCAAGTAGTAGAGTGCTAGCCTTGAGCAAAAAAGCTCAAAGATAGTGGTTAGGTTGTGAATTCAAGCCCCAGGGCTGGCAGAAAAGAAAACTTATATTGGGCTGGATGCCAATGGCTTACCCTTGTAATCCTAGCTACTCAGGAGGCTGATATATGAGGATTTCAGTTTGAAGCCAGCCCAGTTCTTGATACTCTTATCTCCAATTAATCACCAAAAAAGCTAGAAGTGGGGCTTGACTAAAGTGGTAGAGCATTAGCTTTAAGCAAAAAAGCTCAGGGACAGCATCCAATTGAGTTCAAGTCCTACCATCACACATACATACAAAAAATGCATATTAGAAACATTCGTGTTTAAAAAACAATCAATAATTCCCTCAAAGTTGTGCACAAACTTGAAGTCTACCATTTCATTTCAAACTGCCATTTCTAAAGAATAAAGCATGGCACTCTCATGAGATTATAGATTCCATAGTCAGTGTCAGTGCTGGGCCTACCAGCTACACCACTGCCATTATCACAGTCCACTGCACTATTGCTAAAATTCTCCTTTATCTGGTAAGGTATTTCATTTTCAACTGCATCTTGAATGTCATCAAGGCTTTGAGAGAAATATAAAATGGGAGATAAAATAAACATAATTTGGGGAAGAGGAATATCTGTTTCAGATAGAATAATAACCTACATTAACAAAACTAAAGAAGTAGATAAATTCTCTGAAAAAAGGGGAGAAACAAATTCAGTTATTAAGTATTTTTACTTTCAAAGGAATTAACAGATTTCAACTCTCAAAAACTGTTTTTTGGCCAGGCACTAGTGGCTCAAGGCTGTAATCCTAGCTACTCAGGAAGCTGAAATCTGAAGACTGCAGATAAAAGCCAGCCCAAGTAGGAAAGTCCTTGAGACTTTTTTTTTTGGTTGGTTGTGGGGCTTGAACTTTGGGCTCAGGCACTGTCCCTGTGCTCTTCAGCTCAAGATGAGCACTCTACCACTTGAGCCACAGTGCAACTTCGGGTTTTCTAGTGGTTTATTGTAGTTAAGAGTCTCACAGACTTTCCTGCTCCAGAGGCTTTGAACTGGGCTTCTCAGATCCCAGCCTTGTGATTAGCTAGGATTACAGGCGTGAGTCACCGGAATCCACCTTTCTTGAGACTCTTAGCTACCTTGAGACTCTTATCTCTAATTAACCACCAGAAAAACAGAAGTGGCATTGTGGCTTAAAGTGGTAGAACACTAGCCTTGAGTGAAAAAGCTCAGATATAACACTTAGGCCCTGAGATCAAGCCCCACAACTGATCAAAAAAATTTTTTTGGTGCCGGTCCTGAGGTTTGAATTCAGAGCCTGGGCACTGTCCCTGAGCTTTTGTGCTCAAGGCTAGTGCTCTAAATTGAGCTACAACTCCAATTCAGCCTTTTTGGTGATTAATTAGAGATAAAAAAATCTCCTGGCAGGGGCGCTGGTGGCTCACACCTGTAATCCTAGCTACTCAGGAGGCTGAGATCTGAGGATCGCGGTTCAAAGCCAGCCTGGGCAGGAGAGACTGTGAGACTCCTATCTCCAATAAACCACCAGAAAACCGGAAGTGGC